GAAGCTTGTACTTCCCCTTTGCGGTGCTATATGCTGCTTCCACCTCTGTTATTTCCAAGTAAGGGTCTCCTTGATGGTAGATGGCTTCACTGCCCCGATGTGACATGCTCGAAGGTTACCTTTCAGTGGGCATATTTTCTGTTTTGTTTAACATGGATGGACCTATAATCTCTTTTTAAGGATTTGATTTTAGAGTAGCAGGTCATCATTGTTACCTTTGGCTATCATCAGCCCTATTTAGTTTAGGATTGTGAAACTCTCCTGCTCACTAGGAAGTGTCTGATCATAACACACCACATCTCCTAGAACTAGAAACTGACCTAAATGCTGCTGCCCAGCATAACACGTTTAAATAGAACCTCTAAACAACCAAAGCCTGCTTCCAGGGTGCTCTTTTGAAGTTCAGTCTATTGGTGGTGGTCTTTCGGCTTTTATAAAATAGAGCTGCTTTACCAGCTTCACCTCCCGTGCCTAATTGCCGTTGAATTCTCGCCACCTTTGGAGTTAAGTTGCCGTAGAAAACCAGCTCGGGGTGTGCACGCACATAGTAAGTCACAATAGGACACACGAAGCCTGATCCAAAGTCCACTGAAGTCAGTGGGAAGTGTCCTGTTAACTTCAGTAGGTTTTGGATCGGGCCCTTTAAACAAGCGCAGGCATGTTTGTAGATGTCTGCAGCTGCGTGTATGTTCACAGGCCTGTTGCACATTTGAAGGAATACAGTGCTCCGCTCCCCCTGCCCCTAAATGTATGTGCTTTGTTTCTAGCGGTGAATGTGAACTGCCTAAAAATCAAGGTCCCAAATCTTATACATCTTAAACTACAAAGTAATTTCTCCTTTATTCTCTAGCAAAGACCAGAGTTCAGAACTCTGGGTTTCCCTTCTTCCGTCTGGGTTCACGTTTATGTGAGCAGGGTCTGAATGAGCTCTCCCCAGTGTCTAGTGATGAGCTGGGGGAAGAAGGTTTCAGGAACAGACTGTATTTGCATGAACACCCCTCCTCTACCTAGATGCAGAGCATGATGGAGCTGCTTGGCCAAAGTGATCAATTTTGGCTGGTGGTGGGTTACAGATCACTTCAGTATTGAGTGCAAAGGTAATGAAATGTTATCCTTATTGTCTGAGCAAAGGGCAGCAGAATTGCACTTCGCCTGTCCAAACTGATCCTCGCTCACTAAGCAAGGGGCAGGCATGCCAAATCCCAATGAAAGGGGGAGAGGGTGGGGTCAAGTCCCTACGTGGGAGCTCTGCCTAAGGAGTCCTAGGTACCATTGGATCCTCTCTGTCCACTGAGTAAAGACAGAGCTGACTGGATTCCATTGAGTCCTTGTTTTCAGCTCTAGTGATCAGTGACACCCGGGTGCTGAGCCTGAGACCTGGTGCCGGACAGTGTTGCTGTGAAAGAGTCTGCACAACCTGCACTAGCAGTGCAGTTCCCCACTACCTGCCGAAATCACTGCACGCTGCAATTGCTGAGAGCTGGGGTAAGTGGCGGAACCTCAGAGTGTGATGTCCCACGGTAGGGACAGCCCCGGTAGGGACAGCCCAGTTGTCATGATGGCTGCAGCAGCTGAGGTGTTGCTTGATGCCTCACCCCCTCTGAACTCTGGGTCTTTGCTGACCAAGGACAGCAACTGTGAGCGCGGTGCAGTGGAGGGAGAGGGCAGTGGGCTGTCGAAGGAACATTTGTTGGACTTTCAGACTGCAAGGTGAGAAACCGAGGCAAAGGACACCGCCCAATGTACTCTGGGGTGGAGGTTGCTCTTAGTGATGTTTTTGAATGATGGTTGTGGTGTTTTCCCAAATGAATTCTTGGTTCCTTTTCCCTTTGTATTAAGTTTTCTTTGCTGTGCACAGATTCAGTGCTTGCGAGAGGGGAAGTATTGCGCCCGGAGGGGGTTAACTTTCACAGATTACTGGGTGACTGCTCACGCTGGTTCTGTTTTGTATTGTTAAGAGGAACCACTAGATACTGAACCCAGCCCTTCTTCCTGCCAGCTCCACCTGGCAGAACGGTTACATTTATAAGCAACTCAAGCCATGTAAGGAGGGACTTAAATGATGATTCTGGGCAAAACTATGATAGTCAATAGGAGTTCTTGCATGAGTAAAGGCTGCAGGATTGGGCCCTTTTCAAGATCTGCTCTCTAAACACAGGTTTCTCTATGTCTGAATGGAGATCTGAGCGACTGAAAAGCTTGTAACTGGAATCAGATATTCAGCACTGTGCACGTACAAACGTGTTCATTTGGTTTGCTTGTCATTGTAGCAACCATACAAACACCCTCAGAGCTGTCAAATTGAATGTACGTGTGCAATTGCAATAATTATGCATGTAAATTAGACCAGGACTAGCACATGTACAATTGTGAAGAGCTGGGCCTTTCTATTCACACCTCTGTGTGGAGGAGCAGGGATTTCCAACTGGCATTTTTACACTGGATTAAGCCCTTCAGTTTACGTGAGGAAGGAAAAAAACCCTGACGTTAACTGGCTTATGCTAAGGGTTGAACTGTGGTTCTTGTTCTCACTCAGGTAAATAATGCATATGCCAAAGCTTATGGCAGTCAATCATTTATGTAAAAGATATATTTACAGTGCCTGAAACGCATTGAGTGCATCTTGGAGCTGGTGGAATGTGCTTTCTCTAATCTTCAACACCAGCTGCCCAGAGCCTGACACACACACAGCACCTGCACTTCCATTCCCCTTTCTCCTCACCCCCAGCCATGACCACTCACACATTCATCCCACAAACTCCATGAAGGAGGCTGCTGCAGCTCTGTGAAGATATTGCTGTTGCCTCTCTTGGGCAGGGCAGGGAGGAACCTGCTGCCTTGGGGCTGGTAGATGTAATTTATCCAAAGGCTGCCACTGGGTTCGCCGCAAAGAACCTCCAGGGCTGATTGGCAGGATTCCTCCGCAGTAACCAGCCCCTCTACCTCGCTGCAACCTCAGAAAAGCTGCTTCATTAGCTCTGTTTGGAACTCCTTCGGGAGCACATTCCTGAGCCATGAGCTGCCTTGAAACGTCTCTCCAGTCCCGACCCACTCCGGCTGGACTGATGATAATTTCTTGGAGGGTCTGGTCTGGTCTGCGTGTGTACACAGTGACAAAGTGTAGCAACCGTTGTGCAGATTCCTTCGCACCCATCCCCAAACATCTCTGTAATCAATTGAGACCAAAACCGAGGCAAACAGGATCGCTGTAGCCTCTCTCTTGCTGCAGTGTGTTCTCCCTCGAACGTTCACAGGGACCCAGCCCCGTGCTCTGAGTGTCCCTACGCCTCTGACTGCCAGCTGCTGGGATTGGACAGCAGGATGGATCACTCATTAATTGCACTGTTCTGTTCCCTCTGAAGCCCCTGGCACTGGCCTCTGTTGGAAGACAGGTTACTGGGCTAGCTGGACCATTGGTCTGACCCAGTCTGGCTGTTCTTACGTTCCCTGTGTGTCAAGAGCTGGTTCGGGCAGCTTCCGGGCCTTGGTGCACGGCATCGTTAATCGCCGCAGCCCTGAGAGCTCCCAGTAGCCCAGTGTATGAAGGTGTAATGGCAGAAGAAGGTTGGTGCCATTTCTTAAAATTGCTCACCCTGACACAGCCTGTCAAGCCTGAGCAGGTTGCAAACACGACCTCCTGGGTCTGCATTACCTCTAGTGACCTCTGGCCTGGGCTTGATGCGGGCGTGAGGGGGGCTACAACGAAAGGCCTTAGCAAGGCCTGAATGGAGGAATAGAAAAGCTTTCCGCTACGGAAGGGAAGTGTGAGGCATTAGCCAGGCAGCGAGGGACAGCGCTGTGCTGCAGGCTTAATAGCACCTCCACAAACTCCATGTTTATCGTGCACAGAAAAGGCAGCCTACTGCACCCAGAAACCGCAGGAGAGTCACAGGGGACAAGCACTGAGGGCCAGACCTCCCACGGCTGTTTTGCACCTCTCCAACTCGGGCAGGGTGGGGGTGGAGGTGGGGGGAGGTGCGGGTTGCAGGCAGGTGCACAATGATACATTTGAAAAAATCTGGCTCCTTGTGGATTTTTGTTTGGGATTCAGTGTCTTTCCCTCCCTGCTGCTAGGTATAATAAAGCAGATTGTGTGTAGAAGGATACGTGCTAGTGGGAGACGGAGTTGGCTGCGGTACCATGTGAGTAATGCTTGTGATCCAGGCCGTGAGTAAAATGGTGATGAAAAGATATGCTTCTGAGTCCGTCACGGCGCTGTTATTAGTGGAGCCTGGTGCATCAGCCTGCAAACGCTCCAGATTTTGTAAATAAATCCAAGCTGGAGGGGACTGGAAGGGGCTGCTGACGATCCCTCACCTTTCAGTTCTACAGCAGGGTTCCTCAACCCACGGGGCGCCAGAATGCTTCAAAAGGCCTTGTGCTGGCTCACCCCCCCCCAGGGCTGGCTGAGCTCCCCCCCTTGCTCCAGGCACTGAACCCACCAGGGTCCCAGCACCACTCCGCGTTGGCCCAGCCGTCATGACGACGGGAGTCTGGGTAGGCCGAATGGGAGCCGCTGCAACCCCATGAGCCAGGTCACGACTCCACTCCCCCAGGTTTGGTCCAGTCAGGGGGGTTGGGGGTCAAACCTGACCAGCACCTCAACCTGGGTTCCAGGAGCTTGCAACACCTGGAGCAGAGAGCCCAGTCCAGCCAGGAGATGCCACTGTGGGGTGAGTGCTGGGCAGGACCCATCCCTCTCCCCAGGCGCAGGACCACCCCAGGGCCTGCACCCCCAGACTATTTCCTGGGCTGTGACAGGCGATAACCATTTACAAATGAGCCCTGCGCCCCCAAAGGCTGAGAACCACTGATCTACAGCCCCCCAGGGCAGCTCGCTGGGTGCTGCCTCCAGGACTGGCCTGTTTCAGTGCAATCCCCCCTTCTCTCCCTCCAAAGCGCACGCAGGGCAGCGTGGGACCTTAGCCAAGTGTCCCCCCCCCCCGCGGCCCACTAGGCTCCTCCCCGGGTTGTGTTTGGTCAGTTTCGGTTCTGCCTCTGCCCGCTGCGATAAGGCAGCTAAGCCCCTGCCTGGGCCGGGCTCTCCTGTTACCCCCCGGGGCACCGCCGCGGGGTTGTTTTCCCCACCTAGGAGCTAGGCTCGATCCTTCCTCCCTTTGCCTGTAAGGGAGGCAGCGTGTTTGTAAACATGCTTCCAGACAGCCCGAGGCATGCGCCGCTGCCTGGGTTAACCCACGCGGGAGACAGCCCTGGAGCGAGGTCGAGCCACGGCGAGGTAAGAGCAGCGGGCTACGGACTCGGGGACAGACTCTCTCGCAGACCAATGCAATCTCGCTGGCTCGGGTAGCCAGGGGGGATTTGAAGGGCCTCACTATGACTCAGCCTGAGAACACCCTGTGCAAGAGGGGCGTTCACATTTGGTTGCTGATGGCACTCCAATGACCTGGGTGCACTGAGACGTGGAGATATCCCGAGACACGGGGGTGCTGGTGCTGGGGGGGTTAGTATCTTTTAGTGGCTCAACTTCTGGTGGTGAGAGAGACGCTTTTGACCTGCACCCAGCAGCTCTTCTGCAGGGCTGGGAAAGGTGCTCCCAGCAATGCAAGGTGGAACAGTGTGTTAGCATAAGTAGTTCGCACCTGTTGTAAGGCACCACTCAAGGAAGAGTGACCTGTCGACACCTCTGCAGGCTGCTGGGGGCCCTGAAAAGATGGGGAGGGAAGCACAAGGGGAAGAGACGCTTTTACAAAACCAAGAGATTTTAAAAACGGAGCTGCAATGGAAACTGTTATTTAAACAACTCAGCATTCCCTGCAATGCATGCAAGCCAACCATGACTTGCGCATGAGAGCCGGAAAGTGAAACTGTCTATAAACAACAGGGAATCCCACTTCACTAGATCCTAGATCTTTGCTGCAAGCTCTGAAAATTGGCCAGCCAGACGCATCAATAAATCTGTCTGCACCTAGCTGAATGATGGACTCTGTCATCAGCCCGTCTCCTTTCCCCTAAAATGTTCCCCTGCACTCTCTCCCCGATCTATAAAAACCCAGTGGACTCTGGACTTTATTCTGTCCCTGGATCAGCGGTGGTGATGCTGTGTGAAATTCGCACTTACGTGTTATCATGAAGCCTCGGCGGAAAAGGAAGAGCAAAACTGAGTGTTATCTGAACAGATCAGTGATTAACTGGTGCTTTAGGGCTAGATTCTGGGTGTGGTTAAGCCAGTGGAAATTTGGTGTTTTCGCAGACATACACCAGGGTACATGAGAGGAGAACGAAGCCATTAGTGTCTGTAACTGGGAGATTCATGTCCACAAAGCACCAAAGCAGCTGATCCCAACAGCATGCATTCGAGGCATAAGCCCACCTAACAATAGTCCCACCTGGGTGCACAGGGGACAAGTACTGAAAACCTACAGGCTGGGAAGAGCAGGAATGGAAGTTGCATTAGACTCCTAGCAGAGTTGGCCATCTAGCCCACTAAAATGCTGATACAGAAAAGTCCATCTAGCAGGAACGTGCCCAGACGCTGCACAGGCCACAGATTCAAGCCCAAGGTGCACACGTGGGTCTTTGCTCCCTGCTAGGCTGGAGCATGGTGGGCGGGCTGGGGTCACATACTCAGGCCTGGAAGGAAGAAAGAGGAGAGCCTCATGTCACACCAATTCCTGTGGCTGCTTCAGATTGTGGAGTCAGCCCAAGTGACAGCTGCAGTGGCAGGGATCTTTGGTAGGGGGAAAGCTGAGGCTCTGGGCAGGGTTGGGAGGATATCCAGGGATGGGAAGAACAAGGGCAGAGACCAGGGTCGCTAACATCTTGGGCGCAGGTCAGTTTGCAGCGAGCGGGGCTCATTTGTGTCTTGGTTCCAGATGCAGCTGGCACCACTGCCCTTCTACAGGAAGCTCTGTTACGCCATAGGTGGTGCTCCGTACCAGATGACAGGAAACGCCCTCGGGTTCTTCCTCCAGATTTTCCTACTGGACGTTGTGCAAGTGAGCGGCCGCTTTCTCGCTGGATGGTGGGGCTCGGAAGCAGAGAGGCTCCGTACAGGAGTGTGTATGTGCGGGGCAGTCTGGGTGAAAGTGGGTCTTGCAGCTTCTTCTTGGAAAGACCTTGATGGTGCTGGATAGTGTTCTTGGAAAGACCTTGCTGGTGCCCCACAGCTTCAAGTGCTATGATTTCATCAGGAGCCTTAGCTCCACAGAGCTGCAGGAGGAGGAGGTGTGGGGGGTGGAGAGAGGTTTCCATGTCATTCCAGTTCCCAGAAAGATAGCCTGGAATTCTGCCCAGAGCTGGCCTCTCCAGGGCCGAGTCATTCTGACTCTTTCCGCCTTTGGCTGGGATCTGGTTCACTTTTGTGCTGTGGCCTGATCCAGCCGTTTGTCTCTCCCAGTTGGAAGCGTTCCATTCCTCTCTGATCCTTTTCCTTGGGCGAGCCTGGGACGCAGTTACAGACCCCACTGTCGGCTTCCTGGTCAGCAAGAGCCCCAGGAGGAGGCTTGGCAAGCTGATCCCATGGTGAGCATTGGGGGCTGAGGCAGAGTGGGCGTTGATTTGGCTTTGGAGGCCAGGCGCAGCCTCTTTGGGGAGTGGGACCAAAGCCTCTGGCTGTGCGCTTAAAATGCGCAGTTTGAAAAGGGGGAGCACTGACAAGAATCGGTCACCTTGTAACAATTGCAATTTCTGCAAGATTCACTAAATATTCAAGGTGACTGGAGGTTTGATACCCAGTGGCTCTCACCTCTGTTACATGGAACCCTCCAGACAATCCGCTAAGCTGTGGGAGGGGCGGGGGACAAGCTCTCCCATGAAGTGAGCAGCACAATAAATATACAGAGGATTGCTGCGCTAATATTTAACCCCCGAGCCTGCAGCTGGGTCCATGTGGCTGGACCCCTGTCCCCATGGATCCCACTGCTGGATCAGGGCCTCGAATATTCGAGCAGGGGCTGTGATAAGCAGATCTGGGGCCAGCATGGCTCTGCTGCTGTCTATCTGTTTTTTCCCTTGCTTTGAGCAAAGCTACCCTCCCCTGCTCACCCTGATCCCACAGAGGGTTGCCCCAACTTTCTAATCGCACAAAACCGAACACCCCGCCCCCGCTCGCCCCATCCCCCCTTCCTCTGTTGCTCTCTCTCCCCCACCCTCACTCACTTTCACTGGGCTGGGACAGGGGGTTGGGGGCTTCAGCTGGGGGTGCGGGCTCTGGGGTGGGGCCAGGGATGAGGGGTTTGGGGTGCGGGAGGGGGCTCCGGGCTGGGGCAGGGGGTTGGGGTGAGGGGGGTGAGGACCCCGGCTGGCCCCTAGGCACATGGGAGGCTCGGTGGGCTGCCACCATGCCTGCAGGCACCGCCCCCACAGCTCCCATTGGTCATGGTTCCCAGCCAATGGGAGATGTGGAGCCGGCACTAGGGGTGGGGCAGCATGCGGAGCCTCCCTGGCCGCCTAGGGGCTGCAAGGACCTGGCGGCTGCTTCCAGGAGCCGCGTGGAGCTAGGGCAGGCAGGGAGTCTCCCTTAGCCTTAGGCCTCACTGCGCCACCGAGCGGACTTTTACCAGCCCGGTCAGTGGTGCCGACCAGAGCCGCCAGGGTCCCTTTTTGACTGGGCGTTCCAGTTGAAAAACGGACACCTGGCAACCCTAATCCTGCAGCGGAGGATCTGTGGCGTGACGAGCAGGAAAGGAGGCCAGTGCATGAGGCAGGAATAAACCCGACTCTCACTTTGCTTCGGTGCTTGTGTTGAATCATCTCTGCTTGCCCTGCAGGATTGTCTCCTCCACGCCGTTCGGGGTGGTCTTCTACTGCCTGGTCTGGTCCACCCCCTCGGACGCCATGCCTGTCTCCCTCAAGTTCCTTTGGTACCTGACCACGTACTGCTTCTTCCAGACAAGCATGACTGTAAGGACGACAGCGCCTGCGGCTAAGCGTGTCAGGAGCCGTCTTCACTTTGCTGCAGAGAACAGGCTAGGCAGGCCGTTTGTCCCATTTTAAGCTGGACCATCCTGTTTCTAAATGGTTTGTCCCCTGCCTGGGACTGACACAAAGCCGGATGTGTTTGTTTCCCGTAGCACGGATGAAGCACGCCGTGTGTGTGCGAGGTCATGCCAGTGGGGGTGGGGTGGCATGTTCTTCAAAATGGCACGTTCTGGGGGCGTAACCTCGCACAGACCGTGCATGCAAGGTCACATGAGCAGTACCAGAATCTCTGCTATGCTGGGGGTGCCCGAGTGGCCCTTCGAGAACAGGAACTCAACCTGTAGGGGAGCTCACAGCAACTCCAGTGCCAAACTCTCCCAGCAGGGGGTGCTGTAGGGAACGCTATAAGACCACTGGCTGTGGGCAGAGCTCACAGCTGCTCTGGCCCCAGACTTTCCCAGCAGGGGGCACTGTAGGGCACGGTAGAGGGTAACTGGTGGAGGTCAGTCTGTAGGGTGGAGATAGAGCTCACAGTTCTTCCCATCCCAGCTGTTTCCAGCAGGGGGCGCTGTAGGGCATGGTATCTGGTTGGTCATATAGTGACGTCGTGAACCAGGGCAGTAGTTTTAGTTTTCACGTCTGTTCTCTATGGTGGTAGCTCCTGCACCAAAGGTGTTCCCGGGAGGGGAGGGGGGTGTCTGCCCCAAGAGGGTGGGATGTGAGAGACAGGGGATCCCAGTATCAGACAGAGGAGAAGCAGCTGAGTTGTCTGATATCTGAGCTGTTTTTCTCCCCAGTGCTATCATGTGCCTTATTCCTCCCTGACCATGTTTCTGGGAGGGAATCAGCGAGACCGGGATTCGGCCACTGCCTACAGTAAGTGTCTCTGCCCGGATGCAGGTTTCCTTCATGGTCCCAGGCCTGTGTGAGTTCTCTCCTGTGTGTGACTTCTCACTCCATGCCAGAGGGGTGTTGTCTCTGAATCTGGGTTTGTAATAGGGTCACACCGGGCGTGAATTTGACCTGATACCTTATAAAATGTAAAAAAAAAAAAAAAAAAAATCCCATACTTGGGATCCACATGTTATAGTAGCTAAACAGTAACTGGGCTGCAGCGTTAACCAGGGACGCTCTGATGGCTTGGATCTCCATCTCAGGGCACGTGGCATCCCTAGAAGTTCTTCTTTTGTTAAATCAGCCCATCCACGGTGCAGGCAATATCCCGCGGCACGGGGTGTGGTTATCCTGAACACACACAGGCCTTGGGCTGGTTGCTGTAAAGAGTCTCTGTGTAGAAGCATTTATTAGACAAACAACTCCCATGGGGAACCAGGACTAGCCCCTAGCCCCTCAGTTCCAAAAAGTTAGGCCTCTATCACTGGAGTGAAGGGGGAAATTTTAGAGCAGGCAGAAATAGTAGATCTCTTATCTGCTTTGTGAGCAGCCACCAGAGGGCAGTCTCACCCTTTCAGTAGGGTGACCAGATGTCCCGATTTTATAGGGACAGTCCCGATTTTTGGGTCTTTTTCCTATATAGGTTCCTATTACCCCCCACCCGGTCCCGATTTTTCACATTTGCTGTCTGGTCACCCTACCTTTCAGGCACACAAAGCCAATAGGTTACTTTGCAAGGCACATGCTGGCCTCCCTTTCCCTAGGGGATCTGCTCTGAGGCTCAGGCCGCAAGGCTGACTGACCCCTCTCCCATTTGTCCTGGCTCTTGGCAGGAATGGGGGTGGAGGTGTTCAGCACGCTGGTCGGCTCGGGTATCCAGGGGCAGATAGTCGGCAGGTACCACACCAGCATGATGAAAAGCTGCAGCGTGCCCAATGGGACTCTGTACAACAGCACCGCCCTGGGGCTCACCGACACCTTGGAGAACACAGTAAGCACCTGGCCGTCTGTTCCCTGCCCCTCTGCAGAGCTCTGGGTGGGAGAGCGCTGTCTGTGCTCCCTGCAGCCAGCGCCTAGGTTGTGACGGCTGCATCGGCTCTTGTCTTCCAGCGCAGGGCGTACGTGATCGCCTCCGTGGTCCTGGGCTCGCTCTACTGCATGGCCTGCCTGATTCTCTTCCTCGGAGTGAAGGAGCAGCCTGGTTAGGTCACTTCTCTGGCTCCTCTTGCGATGGTTGGGAGGTGCCGTGTGGCCGTGGCTCTGGGGGATGGGTGCAAGTCCTGCAGGGGAGGGAGCTGGGAATCTGCTGGCTGGGCGGGCTGTCGGGAGACACAGTGCCTGGCCTGTGGGTGGGAAGGAGGCGGGTCGAGGGGCTTCAGTCTCAAGACTTTCGCCAGCCTGCGATGTCATGGGAGTTGGCGGCTTGTTGCTTTCCAGCCTCCTCCACCATCCAGTTCACGTCAGCTCTGAGGAGGCTACTCCCCTCGGCCGGGAAGGCAGAAGGAAAAATGAGACTGCGGTACAGCAAGGCCGGTCAGAACCCCGGTCAGGCTGGGAGGCTGGGCCAAGCATGGCGAAGGCCTCCTCAGTCCCGAGGCGGCCTGGGATAGTGTTCGTGGCTCTCGGCTGGAACGCGTACAGTAATCCCCACCGTCCCCATGGGGTAGGGCTGGGGGTGACTCTGCTGCACTTCCCTTCTCACCCCTGCAGGGCCCCTCAGTCCCTTGGGAAAGACCCAGCTGCCCTTCTTTCACAGCCTGCGACTAATCCTGGGACACCAGCCCTACGCCTGGCTGCTCTGTGGCTTCCTCTTCATGTCCCTGGCCTTCCAGGTACGATCACACCCCTGGCTGGCGTGGAGTGAGGGGTGACTGCAACATGGGCAGCAGCTGGGCTCTTTCAGCAAGTCCTGGGGCAAAAGTATCTGAACAAGGAGGAGAAGCAGGTCCCCGAGGTGTAGGGGGATGGTGGGGGACCGGTGGCTTGAAACACACGAGCCGTGTGGGAAGAGGCAAGGAGGGACCTGCACAGACTCCAGGAGCTTTCACCACCGGTGGGACAGGCTGTGCCCAGCCCCTGGTTCTACCTTTCCCATCCCTGCCCACCAGTACAATCCCCCATCATGCCATGCTAATAAAAGTGAGATTGTGCCAGCTGGCTGCAGCAGCCCCTGCTGTGGGACTGTTGTAATAAGACCCTAGAGGGGGTCAATAGGCCAGGAGAGATCCTGTGCAGAGCCTTTAACTCTAGGGTGCAGGTTCAAATCCAACTCCGGTCTGCAGTGATTGAAAGTTGTTCCTGCTAGACAGTGTTAGGTGGCCTCTTGGTCATCATGAGTCCCGTATTCTCTGTCAGATTCCCCAAGGATGAGTGTTGGTAGCCCAGAAACCACCTCACCTACCTCTAACCGGCAGCCTCGGCAGAGAGACCAAGGCGTGAATGGGCAAAGAAAATGAATGCCCCCTTATTGTGAGAGGGGGGGTCTATCCAGGGCACATTGGCAGGTGGTAAGGGGGTGTTTGCTCCATTGATGCCCATGATGTGCCTGCTCCATGAGCAAAGAGAGAATTTGCGTCTACAGGGCAGCTGATCTGGCTCTTTTCACCAGCACTGAACTCACAGGAGCTTTTATGGTTTTAAAATGAAACAGCCCCCGAGAGGCAGGTGGGCGATGAAGGCCTGGTGATACGAAGTGCAGGCGTGGGAAGCCAGCTAGTGATTCACTGGCTGAGAACGCGTTGGACAGGTGGGTTCTGAGATCCCTGGAAAAATGGATGGGGATTCAGCAGCGTAGGTATGAGAGTGGGGGGCAGGCGGAACAGGCATCTCCAGCCAGATGGTGAGGAGCAGCAACGACCTCCCAGCTTGCTACCCTGCCAGGCTCCTTCGGGGCTGGACAGCAGGCCCAGGAGCTAAGCGCTGAGCATCTGTATGTTCCCTTCCTAGATCGCTCAGGGGATCTTTGCCTTTTTCTGCACACATGCTGCTGGGCTGGCTGGGAAGTTCCAGCACTTGGTGCTCATCATGCTGGTACGTCTACCCAGCGGAACCGGTCTCCCCTCCCAGCCCCACTCTCCGATGCCAATGGTGCCCCATAGTGTACTCAAGGGAGGGGTCAAACCCCCACCTATCCAGGGCCCCGCCCGCTCTTTCACCTAGCATGACAGAGGTTGATCTGAAGCCCCCAGTGTGGGCAGGGCAGGGAGAGGGGATAACGGTGCCCAAGGCTGGTCTGATGGATTTCAGTATCTTTGCTGCCCGTGTCCCCCACGCCATAACATGGATGTCTCTGGGGGAATGCTCCGAGGGTCCTGGAAGGCCTTGCTGAGTCTCCCCCTGTGGCTCTGTCTCCCCCAGGTCGTGGCTTCCCTCTCCATTCCCTTCTGGCAGTGGTTTCTGGTGCGTTTTGGGAAAAAAACAGCTGTGTTCGTGGGCCTATCAGTGAGTTTCCTTTCGCCTCTGGCTTTAAATAGATATTGAAACTGAAATTCCTACAGCACTTCTGCCCTGCACCCCGCAGCGCCTCCTTCTGGAAGAGTCTGGGACTGGCACCCTGCCCCCCGTCAGCCCTCCTACCCTGCTCCCTACAGCTCCTGCTGCTGGGACTGGAGTAACGGAAAGCCCCTCCCCAGCCCACCTGTGCTATACCTGTACCATTCCTTGCAGGGACCCCTGCTGCGTGTGGCCCCCACCGGAGTAGCGATGAGCACGTCCATACGCAGTTCTGCCCCATTCCCTAGAGTGTCTCCTGCTGAACAGAGCTGGCACTGGAGCCTCTGTGAGCCCCTCCTCTTTAGCGCTCCCCTCCCCCCCCCCGCTGCACGGGGAAGGCGAAAGTCTGACCCAGCACCCTTACACCCCAGCACCCTTACACCCCAGCACCCTTACAAGAGACTCCCCAGCAAACACACCAGCGCAGCCACCTCCAGGACGCGACGGGCTCGCTGACAGCTGGCACCAGCACCGCCCCGGAGGGCTGGCTGAAGATGTGTCACTGGGCTGATCACAGGCTCAGCTGGGTGCAGGGAACAGAGAACATGCAGCATGTAGATGCCCAGCCTGCTCTGTTGCGATCCCTCTGCTACGCACGCTCAGCTTTGTGTAAAACCGATCGGCCACGGCCTGGGCAGTGACCAGTATAGCGACTGCAGCATAATTCCCTTCCCCTCCCCCGTACTGCCCTGGAGTCTCACAGGGCTGTTTGTTGGGTGTCCTTAATAGCCAGGGAGAATAAGAAGAGTTGATTAATGCTTTGCATTCCCCTAGAGCAGTGGTGGGCAACCTGTGGCCCGCGGGCCAGCCCTTCCCTGCAGCCTGCAGCTCCCATTGGCCCACTGGGAGCTGCGGGTGGCCGTGCCTGCAGACGGTCAATGTAAACAAACTGTCTTGCGCCCGCTAGCGGATTACCCTGATGGGCCACGTGCGGCCCACGGGCTGCAAGTTGGTCACCACCTCCCTAGAGCCTTCCACCCCTCAGGTTAATTAACTTGTCCTCCGGATAGCCCATGCAATGGGTACAGATAAGGCGCAGGGAGGTTAAGGGATGGACGTGGGGCTGTCGGGGAGTTTTCCCAGGGAGGTCAGGGTTTGCTGAGGACACCCCACACCTCACAAGATCAAGCCCCAAGGCTCTGTGTCCACACCTGCAGTCAGTGTCAATGGGAGCTGGGGGGGCTCAGCACCACGGACAGTCCCTTTGGGCTGCATCCACTGTGCTGAGCTCTGCTCAGAACCTGGCCCCCAGTGTGGGTGCTCACCTCTAGGGGCCACGTTTACAAAGGGACTCAAGTACCTGAAGATGCAGGCAGGCACCTAATGAGATTTTATAAAAGCACTTAGGCAGGTCATGTGCTTAACTCCCATTGACAGTCTTGGGAGTCAGGCGCCCAACCTGCTTAGGTGCTTTTGTAAAATCCCACTGGAGTGCCTATCTGCATCTTTAGGCACCTAAGTCCCTTTGTAAATCTGGATCTAGGTGACTCACCCAAGGTCATATAGTGAGAATGGCAGAGCCAGAACCCAGGAATCCAGGCCACTGCACCACGCTCCCTTCTACACTGGAATAGTATTTGATTTCTGCTCCTGTGGGGGTTCCTATGGCACTCCTGATTTCTAGTAATTAATGCAGCATTATGTTATTATCTGTCGAGCTCCGTCCGTGCTCTCAGGGCTGCACAGATCACAGGAAGGAGACATTCAGTCCCTGCCCCGAGGAGCTTCCATTCAGGGGGCACTGAAATATCAAAAATAGTCTAATGTCCAAGCATTGATGCGGAGTTGCTACTGGACTTGCAGGTCTCTTTGATGCAGGCAGCTCCGATGAGAGAAGTGAGTTTTAGTCCATAGTAGGTATTTGTGAGCTGTGAAGGCATTTGCGTGGAGACAGCGGGGAGCATGGTCTTTGGGTCCTGGGGCGTGAGAGCTTCACACATGCAGAGCAAAGGGAGCATAAGCACTTTTCTCTCTCTCTCTCTGCTGTAGTTAATTATCCCTGCTCTCATCGTTATCACCCTAGTGAGTCACAACTTCCTGGTCTTCGTCTTCATGGTGGTATTAGCGGGATGCAGCCTGGCTGTCCTCTACTTGTTACCCTGGTGAGTGGAGCGGTTCTCCAAGCCACGGCTGGGGCTGCTCATTCCTGGACCGTTAAAGGGCTAGGTTGGTAGGAGGAACAAACTGGATGGGGGGGGGAAGGAGAGTCTGTTGGGAAGCCTGGTTGATAAAGGCCTAGACGTGGGTGCGTTCATCTGCGTGGCCAAATACCAGAGCAAAGGGGGATGGGCACCTTTGTTGTGGGTGTGAGTGGCATTAGACAGGGAGGTTTGTGGGTTACCGAGTGATTGTACAGCACTGGCATTGCATCAGTCTGCGAACAGTGAAAATGCAGAGTTAGCTGCATGCATGTGGCCCTGCTTTCATTATGCGAAACACTTACCTTCTCTCTTGTACTGCCTCCTGCAAAATAGCATCCAAGGCCCAATGTCCAGACTCATGCAAATATGTGCACACATATGCACGCCTAATTTGCACATGCAGGTAGAGCAATTGCTCAGCTTAGGCACAAAAGTGCACATGCAGTCTTCAAAACCTGGGTCCTACTGTGTTTTTCCCCCAAATCATAGTCCGAAGCGTTGGCCAGTGCTGGAGGGCTGCAGTGTCAAAACCCAGCAATGCCTAACAGGAGAGAAGCAGGGCAGGCAGCAGTGCTGGGTTTGACTAGCACCTTTATCCCCAGGTCCATGCTACCAGACGCGGTGGATGATTTCAGGCTGAAGAACCCGAACTATCTAAACCTGGAAGCTTTTTTCTACTCGTTCTATGTTTTCTTCAACAAGTTTGCAGGAGGACTCTCCTTGGGGATATCAACAATGAGCCTACAGTAGGCCTCAAAATCTACTTTCTATTTATCATTGGGTTCACAGGTACCCCATGGGAGAGGCTGGAACAGGAACAGCTGGGAGCTCCCCAAGGCCAGCGTTCTATACCATTCCCCACAGCACCTCCTGCTGGGGGTGGCTGGAACCGGACTAGCTGGGAGTGTCCCATGGCCAGCACTCCTATACCATTCCCCACAGCACCTCCTGCTGGAGGTGGGTGGAACCGGACTAGCTGGGAGTGTCCCATGGCCAGCTCTCCTATGCCATTCCCTACAGCACTTCCTGCTCAGCAAACCTGCGAGTGAAGTCGCTGTTTGCTCCTTTCCAGTTCTCTGCCGTGACTTGCTGAGACTGTGGTGTGTGTAAGCTTTTCCATTGCCAGCACTCTGCCCAGGGGCTCCTGTTTCTAGGGGAAACGAAGGCCAGTGTTTCCATGGCGGAAAGCTGGTGCTTTTTTCATGGTGCTTCTCTTCAGTTTTGCAGGTTACAGAGCCAGTGACTGCACACACAACCCCTCTGTCATCCTCACGCTGCGGATACTCATGGCCCCTGTCCCAATAACCCTGCTGCTCATTGCCATGACCATATTCTGCTTCTACCCCATCGATGAGGAGCGGAGGAAACAGATGAGGGTGGAGATGGAGGCAGCTGGGTAAGTGCAGTGCCCTCTGAGGAGAGTTTACCGTGTTCTGCAGTTCTTTGGTTCGAGCCTCCACACTAGAACTGCCTAATACACCCAGCACAGGCTCCATCACAACGGAGATGGCTGACTTGGAAGGACTCCCCAGCATGAGTATATTATAGCCACTTTGCAGTGGAATTCAACTCAGATCTCCATCCACACTCAATGGCAACCAGCCAGCAAATACTTCTACACCTTTTCCTAGTTAGGAGAGGCTGGGACGGGAAGAGCTGGGAGCTCCCCTCTAGTCTCCACTCTGTAGCGATTCCTGCTGCGGAGCCAGGATTACTGTCTTTATTCAGGCCAGGTCAACACTACCGCTTACTTAAGCTGTGCATAAGCCACCCCCCTGAGCGACGTAAGTTACACTGACCTAAGTGCTGGTGTGGACAGGACTATAGCAGTGGGAGAGCTTCTCCTACTGACATAGTCACCGCCTCACCCGGAGGCAGATTTATTATGACAATGGGAGAGCTCTCTCCGTCAGTATACAGCATCTTCACCAGACACACGACAGTGGTGCAGCTGTGCCGATGTAGTGCTTCTAGTGCAGCCCTTAGACTTTTTTCAGCATACTGGGGTTTTTAAAGTTCTTTATACAGTGCTATGCCACCAGTTCCAGGGGTCTGCTGCAAGGTGTCAGCTTGGGGCCTCCTAACGCTTCAGAAGGCTGAATTGGGAAGCTTCAGGAGGTATAACATGGTTGGCCAACAGTGATGGCTCCGTCAGATGTCTCCTCCGCACCCTGTACATTGAGATGGGGATGACCAGAACAATACCCCCCATTTGCTAGCAGGCAGTGCGGCCTCAGGAACAATTGGAGATATGGGTCCTGAAATGTGTCTGAGCCTGAGTGATTGACACCTCTGCTCCCTTTTGTCCCCATGCCTAGACGTTTGGGGAGAAAAAGAGAATTTGCCAGGAAATAAACCCCTGTTTATGGCCAGGACGCTCCATGTTGATGCAGTGGGACTGGGACTGGGTCTGGGACCAAACACCGCGTCCTCCCTCTCTCTCTTGAATGTGGATTTTAAGTTGGATTTCATATTCATTTCTGTTCTTTTTAACAGTCATTGGGTAAAGAATGGAAACCCAGGGTAAACTAATGTCGGGAAATGCACTTGGAAAGAATCCAGTATTGCTACATGGCCATGAGGATGCATCAGTGTAATTTAAAGGCCCAGCTGCCTGTTGTTGCTGATTTTCCCCATCACAAAGGACACAGCTCTGCTTACTGCCTTTCCCTGTGCCAGCCCAGCCCTGCAGTGCTTCCGCAGTGAGGCCTGCAGAGCTGGCGTGACCCCACAGCACTGCGTTCTGCATGGCTTAGCTTTCGCTTTGCTGCCTGCTCTGGCACACTCAAAACAGGACCACAGGGTGGGGGAGATGTGGGGAGAAAAGAGAGAGTTTCTCTTTGGAAGATCAGGATCATTAGTACTGAGAGCTAAGTTTGGGGGGAAATACAATTTTTTTAGGAAGGGTATGGTATGCATACTATATTTCTAGGTCATCAAACTGGCAAGATGAAGTCTCCTACACTGTACTAACCCACCCATCTCATAAGGAACAAAGGAATTGTCACACCAGAACAGACAGATGGTCCAGCTCATCCAGGATCCTACCTCTGATAGTGGAATGGTCAATGCTGGCTGCTTCAGAGGAAGGTGTCAAACACCTCCTTAACGATCCTGACTGAGTAATACTGTACCTGTGCGGAGATGAGGGAGGAAGGGTCCTTTTGACCCCATGTGGTGATCAGTTCCTGCCTTGCAGCACGAAGATTTACTTCTGTCACGTTCCTAGGTAAAGGTAGGCAGGACTAGTGGCAAGAGCTTGGGATCCCAAAACTGAAGCCAGGGATCAGAGTCAATAGTCAAGCCAAGGGTCTAGCCAGAGTCAGAAATCATGTCCAGGGTCAATACCAGGTATCGGGGTCTGTGTTGGGTTTCCAGGGGTTGATTAGGAGTCAGAATCAGAGTCAGAGCAAGGTCAGTGCCAGGAGTTCAGAAGTACGGTAGCTAGCTAGGAATCCACATTGTTGCCTGGACACTTCCTAGTACACCCCATGGGCATCTCTATGGTCAAAGAACCAATCAGGGATCGCTAGACCACTGTCAGTCAGATCACCTGAGGTGGAATTTCCTCGGTAGGTTGTAGGTCACAGGGAGTGGCCCAGGTGACAGTGTAGGGATGTTGGTTGCCTTGTAGCCCTGCGCAGACCTGGGATTACAACCTCCCTCATGCAGAGCAGCTGACTCACTGTTCTCCATCCAGAACGCCAAGCCAAAGAGAACTGCTGAATTCAGCCACTTGGAACTGTGGGTTAGATACAGCGTAGGTAGTCACTCTGACACGCTGTAACATGGGTACCAGGTCTGGGTATTACTGCCGGTTATTGACAGGGCTGAAGGAAGCCTGGTAGATGTAGGTTGTGAGGCTTGGGAGGGGTAAGGAAAAGTGGTTCACTGCCTGTTGTCAATAGCTAAGCACCTGCCTTCATCAACTACCACAGAGCTACAGTATTTTGATCACCTGCTGGCATGATGCTGTTCCTGGAGAGTGGCCAGTAGGATGATCCTAGTTCACCTTGTTTCCCAGAGGGCTGGTCCCCGGTGTTTGTAAAGACAGAATCTATTAATCTTCGGAAAGATACCAAAGTTCAAGTGTAGAAACTTCAAAGAGAAGCACATGCTCCAAAGGAGAAGTATACACACCACACGACTGCTAGTATCACTATTTCCAAAACCAACCATGGTTCCCTGCCTCGGGTTCATTAGCAGGCCGTTCAGCTAGTTATCAATCAGATGAATGTCTCTGTGACAGGGGTCACAGGAATGGACTAAGCCACCTGCGATCTTGCTTTCTTAGGGGTTTATTACAAGGTCTGCCCTGTGCCTGCCATCTGCAGGGGTGTCAAATTCACTCAGTGGAAACGGCTGAATTGCACTTTTAATAGTTTCTAGAACAGCTCTACAAAATCAGCATCTTGTACTACCTTCAGCACACCGCAAATGTCCCACCGCACAGAGATCAAGGGTTGGGTCTGGCCCTTCTGTAGTGACTAAACTTTCAGTAAGTAAAATTTAATTGCCTTTGGCATCATGCATTAGCTTGTTATTTTTCAGGCCAGTGCCTTTTCTTTAAACCAGCGGTTCTCAACCCACGGGCAGCCCAATCAGCACACAGCTGCGGCCCATGTGACATCCTCAGGGCCATACAGGTAGAATATATCTATATCTATTGTGTGGACGCAGCCCTCATAACACAAAGAGAGCCGCATATGAGCCCACAATGGTAAATAAGTTGAGAACCACTGCTTTAAACATCTGAGCTTGCAGCTACCCAATCTGCACACACAGTGGCAGTATTTGTGCAAATTAGCCCTCAGTTTTGCACCCACTTTATTTGAAAATCTGGTCCTTAGAGTGGCATCATGAGGCGTAAGAGTTAACCACGCTTTGCGATGAATGGGGAAGATCCCATCTCAGAGCTGTAGCAGGATGTCTGCAGATAGCTTGGCAGGAAAGCAACATTATATCAGTTACACGCAGATCACATTTACTTTGTCACGAGGGCCAGAAATGTAATTCAGGAAGGCTGGTCTGGGTGTTTTGAACCTAGTGGGCTATGGCCCGTTGCTTCACATTCAGCGTTGTTGTCTATGTATTTTGATGGCCTTTGTGTGCCAAGAAATGAAACATGATTAGTTCTCATGCTAAAAGTCATATGGTCGACAAGAACTGTGTTCAGATGCATTTGCAATTGCTATATCGCACCATTCAGGCTGGGAAGGATGTGTATTGTGCTGCACCATCCTTACAGGGGGATTTGTATTTGTAGATTTGTATTTTCTGATGTCAGTATTTTTCAACTGTTTTTTTAATTATAAACTCAAAGGCAGATTTTTAAAAGTATTAAACCGGTGCAAACATTAATGTTTTCTCCCCTTGGCATTTCTTGCTTTGCAAGCAGAAGGCCTCCCTTCACAACTCTCCCTGTGGATCAGCCAGCTTGGTGGGGAATTGTTCAAGGAGAATCAGCTTGTTTTGCAGGTTGTAAAGTTTAACCATGAACTGAGATACTAGAAGCTGACACCTCATTCTGTTCCCTGCTGAGTGCAGACCTCACTGTGGTGTCACCAAGGGTGACCAATGAGGTCTTCTTCCAGCTCATCTCTGTGTCTCAGGCAGCCCTTGCTATACCCCCTTCCCCATTAAGAAACTTCTGTTAAAGAGATCCTGGAAATCATGTGGGCATTGCAGGTGTTCAGTAAGGAGTAAGATGAGAACACCAAGCTCAACGGGGATTTGAATCTAGGTCTTCAGAAGTGATTGACTAACCCACCAGGCCTTCCACAACAGTTAACGGGGAACCACGGACCTAATGTAGCTCTTTATTTTTCTTCTGAGCTTTATGTCTTGAACCAGTATTTTCTAACATAGCCTTGTGGTGGAATGTACACGCCTTCACATGCAGTCTGACAGGGAAGGGATTACGGCAGGGCTGGAGGGTGACTGGGCATACGTGAAACTGGCTACAGCTATAAAGAGACTTGTCTCTCAGCTGGGAGGAGCTCTAGTTAGGGGTAAGATGTTTCTCCGGAGAGCACAGCAGAGATGCTGACAACGTGTTTGGCCAGAAGAGCAGTTGGATCCAAGAAAGTACAGGAGGCCCTTTGTTAGAGCTTAGACTGTATGTGGGGAAGGTTAACTGGGCAAAGCCATTTTCCTGGGGCTCAGTGTTTGAGCTGGAAGAAGCTAGTTCTGATACTTCTAGGAGCCACTAAACACCTTTGCTGGGTCCTGACCCAGCAGGGTAGATGGGACATGGAGAGCTCCTGAGCAGTCTGCTGTGAGGCCAGAGTGGGGCTCAGAACTCTGAGAGGTGCCTGAGGAAGCGTGGGGTAATTGCTGGCTGGAGTTATTGACAAGCTTTCAGCTTCACTTCTGCCAGTACACTGATGGAAACTGGGGGCGTGAGCAGATGCCATTTTACTTTTCTAAGGATAATCTGTGGTACATTGGTGGCACCAGTCTTTGCCAGGCACTTATTAACACACTACTGATGATGCTATTACATGAGATAGAATTGTGTAACAGATCATCTCTGTCTTGGGTGCTTAGGGCTATAGTCAACTGACTGGGCAAAATATAGGTAATTTTTTAATTGCTGCCTAAACGGCTTGTGGGAGTTAGCACCACTACAGCTCCACTAGGGAGGAAGGATCATCCTGTGGTTAAACATCAGGTGATCTGGACCATTGCTATTCTGCAGGTTACTTATGTGACCTCTCTGTGGCATGGTTTCACCAGCTGATAACAAAGATGGTAACACTTCCTATCTCATAGGGAAGCTGGGCAGTTAAAATGACTAAAGCGTGCAAGGTGCTCATATACTTGAGTGATGAGCATCATGAAAATACTTATAAATAAATAGAGCTGTGTCTTCCCTTCCCGCATCCTCACTCCCATTTACCAATGTGGGGAAGGTAAATGCTAGATTTCAAGAGCAGATCGCTGCGGTCCCCTTCGACAGAGATAATAATCAGCAGTGAGATGAGCGTGCGCCTTCCTATTTCCATCTTGGATTTGGGCTTACCGCCTTTCCTCTGCTGGCACCAGTCTGGTGGAAGTGAGGGCGACATCAATCTGGCAAATAATAGAACGGGGGTGTGTGAATTGAAATATTTCTACAGTTAAGAACAAAGCAAACCAGGAATGTTGGAGTTTGAATATTTTGCTTTCTAAAAGATTTGAGCAATGAAGTTCAATTAAAATCCTGTGTTCCAGCCTCTTATCTATTATGTCATGCATCTCCTCTTGTCTCGCATTTTAATGCCACCCGCTGAAAGTGTTTGCTTTTTTAACGCTCTTCCCTGTCCGTGAAGCATCCTTGCTCACATAGCAAAAGTCAAATTCCTCCACTTCAGATGAGGAAATAAGACGTCTAACTAGAAATAATCCTCTTCAATGCAAAGCCACTCCTGGGTCGCGAAGAGATTTTTGGATAAAACAGTTGCTCGTGTAATGGGGGGAAAGCGCCTTTGAATGTAGAGTTCAAAGTCTGAGGGCTTGTCTACAGGTACAGAGCTAGAGCCCGGATGCGGCGGCTGTAGCGCTTTAGTGAAGATGCGACTACTTCTCCTGTAGTGTCCAACTCCCCGAGAGGTGGTAGCTCTGGCGGCAGGAGAACCTTGCCTGTGACACAGTGCTGTCCCCTGGGGCGGGGCGGGTGTTAGGTCAGTATAGGCTAGGGTGACCAGACAGCAAGTGTGAAAAATCGGGACAGGGGGTGGGGGGGTAATAGGAGCCTATATAAAAACAACCCCCAAAATCAGGACTGTCCCTGTAAAATCGGGACATCTGGTCGCCCTAGTATAGGGTGATCAGACGGGTGGAGATTAGGGGCTTTGTTTTATATAGGCAACTATACCCTCTCCCCGAAAAAACCCGTGTCCTGGTGTTTCACAGGTGCGAGCTGTCAGCCCAGGTCGGTGTAACGGTGGATTTTCACCCCCGCCCCGAGCGATGGCGTTACACCGATACAGGGAGGCCGGGGCTGACACTGCTTCAGTGCAGCCCCCCAGCCGCCAGGGGCTGACCCCGACAAGCGCTGGGAGGGAGGCGAGCTCATGGGGCTCTCTGGACACTCTTACCCGCCGGCTCTCTGCAGCGAGCCCGGCCTGGGGCAATAGGGGCGCGGAGCGCTACCTCGATGTTCCCAAGCCCCAGCTCCTGGAGTCGTGTGACTGCAGCGCCCCGGTCTCGGGGGAGGGGGGGGGGCGGAGACGCTGGGACACGTGCCCGGCGCAAGAGGCTCCAGGCCGGCGGGCGGCAGCGGCTCTGCTCAGGGGCGCCCGGTTCCCATGGCAACGATCCCGGCGCGCCCTGTGGGGCCAAGATGGCCGCCCTGCGGCGGCCCGACACGGCTCTGCGCGCAGGGGAGCGAGGGGGTGGGGGACTTCACGCAAGATGGCCGCCGCCTCCGCGCAGGGCGGGGCCTCTCTAGGCGGCGAGCTCTCTATGGCGGCGGCGTGCGGGCCGGGCCGGGCCGAGGAGGCTGCGCATGCGCACGCGGTCTCCTCCTGCCTCCTGCGCTGAGTGCGGCGGCTGCGGGATCAGGCGGGCGGCGGCGGCGGCTGTGGCAGCGGGATGGGCGTGCACGTGGAGACCATCGCCCCCGGAGACGGTGAGGGGAGCCCGGGCCCGCCGCCCCCCGCGGGCTGCCCCCCGGCCTCGCCCCATCCCCCCCCCGTCCCACCGCTCACGGTCTCTCTGTCTCTCCCCGCAGGGCGGACCTTCCCCAAGCGCGGACAGACCTGCGTGGTGCACTACACGGGTGAGTCCCGCCGCGGGGGGCTGAGCCCTGTGGGGTGGGGGCTGTGCTGGGGGGCCGTGCCCTATAGGCTGTGCCCCGTGGGGTGGGGGCTGTGCCCCGTGGGGTGGGGGCTGTGCCCTGTGGGGTGGGGGCTGTGCTGGGGGGCCGTGACCTATGGGCCGTGCCCCGTGGGGTGGGGGCTGTGCTGGGGGGCCGTGCCCTGTGGGGTGGGGGCTGTGCCCTGTGGGGCCGTGCCCTATGGGCTGTGCCCCGTGGGGTGGGGGCTGTGCCCTGTGGGGGGCCGTGCCCTATGGGCTGGGCCCCGGGGGGGGGGGGGGCGGGGGTGCATGGGGGGGGGGGGGGGGGCCATGGGATGGGCCCCTGCCCCCCCTCCCCCCCCCCCAGGAGTAAGCTTTTGCGAGGCTATGAAGAGGCCTGGTACAGAAGGAGTCTTTCCTTGTGTACGTGCCCCCCTAAGTGCTGAGACCAACCCGCAAGAGTCGAGAGCAGACGCCCCCCCGGACTGTTTAAGGGGTAACCGTTCACTGCAGCACGCGAACAAGCAGCTGCTTTGTAGCCCTATGTTCAGGCAGTCCCTGGTGGGCTGTGTAACTCCTTCGCATGCAATATTCTGCTAGGGATCATCTCACTTTGTTCTTTGCTGTGTCTCTTCTGATGGGTTCCCTAGAGACAGGTGCATTTAGCAGCCCCACCCTTGGGTGTAGGTCAGATAGGAGGTGCTTTGGTGAAGTTTCTGGGTGTCCTACTGTTTGGTTGGCTCTGTGGTCTAGCAGGAGGGCCCGCAAGCAACTTGCCC